TTTCGGTCACTTTATGTCATTTTTGGAATATTTTAGGTCATCAAAATCCGGGCCCTGTTTATAAGTGTCAATGAAGCGTCTGGATTTCCGGGACCAACAAAGATTTTTGCCCTCCCTGAGGCCTGTTGCACGACAATATGAGCTTTTAACACATTAGTGAATTTATCTTATTTTAACGTATAAAAATCGAGCTATATTTCACAAACATATCTTCTATGCCTGCACTCCATTGGTCTTTAATTCACAAGGTACAAGTGACTTCCATTTCCAGAAATGTTCTGCTCCGCATTACGGCGATTATTAGGAACTTTCTTGCTATTTTTCAACCAGAGTAGAAAGACTAGTAACAATGAGTAATAGTGAATAGCTCAGTTGTTAAAGCGAAGGGCTACAGACTGGAAGACTGGGATTCATTCGCCGGTAATGGCAAGAAATTTTCTCTGATGCCCAGCCATTCCATTCGTGGCTCCGAAGTCGAGAATGTGTGGGCATTTTGGGCCATGGGCTAGGTGCGAACTAGTCGTCTGCCGGTAACAATTTGAGCGGAAGAGGACAGTGATGGGATCCGTTACCAAGCAACCGCTAATACAGACGAACAGAGAAGAATCAGTTCGTGCTATAGCGAATTGTAAAGTGTGTGAATCAGCGATGTCGCTGTAATTACTTGTAGTTTGGTGTTATAAGAGTCCAGTAAATCCAATTACCAATCCAAGCCCCGTGTCTAGTCACTAACACGTGTCAGGATATACTACTGTCGGTTTCCCTGAATTTGGCCAACACACATCTCTTATTTGCCTCCAATCTTCGGTTGAACCAAGTATCACGTTGAATTTTGCTGTGTCAAGTACATTTTGCTGGATCCAGGTTTTATTTTACATTTCTTCGTGAATTTATCGCTATTCCAACCAAAGATCAAACTGTACAATACAGAGTATATATCATTTAGCGCAGTTTGTTTTGTTCAGACGCAGTCTTCTGCTCCTGTTAATTTGTACTTGTATCTTTTACTTTTCGCGGGATTATACAAGCGTAGGTTTTCCTTTCATGAAACAGAATTTTACAAGACAAGGTTATANGATGGGGGCGATACGTTCCTCCGAAACGTCGGTTAACACCACATATACACGGCGCCAAATCCCAGAAGACTGCTTTCTTCATAGTCACCGCCGTGAAAGCCTCAAATCTTACAAGGTTATACAAGTACATTTACCTGTTGTTTGGGAGGTAAAAAAATGCTTATGTTAAAGAGCTGGTACGAGTGTAAAGCAGCCGGAGTGTGAAATTACCACACATCTTATGATTGGTTCTTGGTTTATTCAATGGTGCTTTTTAACGGCGTAGGAGGAACGCTGCGAATGGTGAATCCAAAATGATGTGAAGAAACCAGTCGTGGCCAAATTTAAAGTAGATTTTCGGAATTTACGTGGGCAGGCGAGCAGATATTGGAACACAGAACATCCAAGAAACGAAGCAGAACAACTGAAGTTAAGAATGCGCCGTGGGGCAGTGTTGGGGCGCAGGGACAACTTCTGCCTCATGTTTGCACGCGACAGATGCTGCCTTTGTTTATCTGGAGAGGTAGCCTACAGATGGCAGGCAGCACACTTCCAGCATCTGTCCACACGACAGCACCTGTCGATGTCAAGTTACCTGAATGCTTGTTCTCCGCAATATCCAATTTCTCGGGTCACTGCCGGCAATTCACTTGATACCTATTTACTGCATGACACTATGGCGCTCTTCGAACCTTGGCCATTAGAGATCAACCGATGGCATATGAGTATAAGCCACAATAACAGAAGTTTCAGATTTCGGGCGAAACTTCATTCACGTCATCAGTAGAAGCATACCCAGAACTTTACTGACGGAGAGGGTAGAACACTTTACTGCCTGCACTTGGACACATAACTAATTAAATTGACCTAATCCTTCCAGCCGCACTAGGCCCTGGGGTTCACTCAGCCTCTAACAGATATGAGCACCAGGAATTAAATAAATAATTTTCCTAGGGAGTAAACCGCGGCCGGCGCGTAAGGCTGACAACCTTACCGCCATCTTGGATCCGATTGTCTAGATCAGTGTTCCGCAACCGGTGTGCCGCGGCACACTGGTGTGCCGTCACAAGGTGAAAGGTGTGACGCGAAATTTTACCTATTGTAAGAAATGAATTGTCGAATTTTATTCGTTTTATTTTATCCCAGTTACCGTGTTTTATATGCTTGTATTTTATTCTCAGCCACTGCACTGATTAAATAAGATGATGCTTGTTTATTCTTTATTACATGCTGCGATTTTTTATGTACAGTAATGTTATATTCTAAGAAATTAAACGTCAATTATTTACTCACAGTTGTTGTTATAGCATAGTTTTCATTATTGATTTATTTTTATTTTTCTCGCATCTACGCAGCTTCTTTGATATGCTTGCTGCATGTTCTGTGTACGTGCTTTTCCCTAAAACTGCAGGGATTAGCATGGGTTTTCCTGTCTTTTATAACGCTGTTTTGGTATTTGCCTCTGTTTGTTAGAAGTTAGAGCTTCTTCAACTTTATGACTTTCTTCCTGTAACGATGCACCCACCGATTGTTGGACTTCATTTAAAATTATAAATATTTCAAAAATAAGTCGGTATAGTGTCACTTGTTCCGTTTGAAGAGTAGAGATCCCGCGTTTTACAATTGTTTCAGTTCTATCACAGCTGTGCTCTGAAGTAGTTCGCAAATTTTGGTTGCTGGTTAGGGAATTACAGATGGGTCGTTTGAGATGTCCCCGACTGTATGGCCACTTGCTGACGGCAATAAAATGGTGATGGACACAATTAAAGAACATTTAGAAATGCTGCAGCAGAAATTCAATAAGTATTTTGGAGAGAGTGTACAAGATTTCGACTGGGTTCGCGATCCATTCGTTGCGAATTCAGAACATCTTCCGATTAATATACAAGAGGAACTCGCAGATTTAAAAGCAGACAGAACATTGAACGAAGTGCCTTTGGATACGTTTTGGTTGGCAATAAGGAGTGGATACCCGGCTATCTCCGAGATGGCAGTTAATGTGTTATTGCCATTTTCAACTACATATTTGTGTGAACTGGGCTTCTCGACGTTAACTGAAATTAAGACATCAAAGAGGGAGCGGCTCAAATCCATCGATGAAGAAATGAGACTTGCGTTGTCAACGATTCCACCACGGATCAGTCGCCTGTGTGCAGCTACCCAGGCGCAAGTATCACATTGAAGGCATGAGTAGAATTACTGTATTTACTTTAATAGTAATAGAAGTGTATTTTCTACACTCTACAGTGAATTAAAGTTCATTAATTATTAATAAACGCACGAGTCGATTCCTGTTTAATGATAATAAAATAACAATATAATAATATTATAGTAATAAGTTGATCACGTTACGTATTTATATAATTGTCTGATATTATGCGTTTTTGAGGGGAATAACATTTTGGTGTGCCGTGTTGAGTCATGGATATTTCATGGTGTGCCGCAAGTAGAAAAAGGTTGCGGAACACTGGTCTAGATAATGTGGGACCCTCAACGTCTCACTACCCTATGGGCCTTCATGACCTGTTACAGGGATAGCTTTACTTTTTACTACTTACTCTTACAGGAGAACTCGGAGGTTTAACTTTTCTAGCACAAAAGATCGACACTGAACTCGATTAGAACGAATTCCATCCACCTTCCTTTCTCACAACAAACTTCTCCAAGATTCATTTTACTAACTACATTTCTGGTGGCAGAACCCGGATACTCGAATTGCTGTCATCAGAGTCTCATATTTCACACGATTCTGGGTTAGTTCCACCCACTTCTCACACGTGCGGCCTACTTTTCCTACGATCCATCTTAATGTTATCCTTCTCGGTGTTCCAAATAATCACTTTGCAAGAAGTGTCCCAGCGAAATTCTATGTGCTTTCCTGTTTCCCTCATCACAGCCACATGCCCGCTCCATCGCGGTCTCCTTGATTCCAGGACGGAACTAGGAGAAGGGCATACTGCAAGATGAATAAGAGCAGAAGAAAAAGAAGCAGATTGACTAGACGTATAGAATGGGAGACGACGAATGAGGACAAGCAAGTGAAAGAGAATTATGCTAATGCTATTCTTGATAGAAAAATAATGACGATAATCACAACAGAAAGAGGAAAATGATAATACTCATAATAAAAAGATCATGATAACAGAGCTCATGATTGTGAAGCTAATGGTAAGCATAATAGAAGACGATGATGAAGGTAATCAAGATAGAAGGATCATGATCATACTTAGAACAGAAAATTAATAAGTATGATGATAATGGTTAAGTAGGTGATAAAGGTGATAGTAATATAAAATGATAATGATAATATAAAGGCACGCGCTAGCGTAGTTGGTTGAGGCACTATGCTACAAGCCCGATAAGGTCAATGGATTTTCTTCAATTGACCTAATCCTTCCAGCCGCACTATGGCCCTGGGGTCGACTCAGCCTCTAAGAGAAATTAGTACCAAGAATATTCTTGAAATATTCCTGGGGGCAAAGGACGGCCGGTGCTCAAGGCTGACAACCTTGCCGCCATCTGTGACCCGATTGTCTAGAAAATGTGGGAACCTCAACATCTCACAACCCTATGGGCCTCCACGGCCTGTTAAAGGGATACCTTTACTTTCCTTTTTACTCTACCTACTACAATTACAATGAAATATAATATTAATGAGATTAAGATAATAAGATTATAACAGAAAATAGTACGACGTGATAATGATAATAATGCGTAAAGCACGATGAAGTGACATACTGAAGATAAGGCGCACATACGAGTAAATAAGCTGAAATAGTGAACCAACACCACGGCAGCCTCGGAAGCTGGAGTCCGCCCATGCATATTGGATGCTACCCCACCCCTCTATGCACGTGACCCGCACGAGCCAGGCACACGTCACTTACCGCTGAGGAGGCCTGCTTGTAGGAACAGTAATTATCAGAGAGAGAAGGCAGGCAAGGCTGCACTGCACACCTGCTCGTGCACCTGGCCCTTCTACGCATGCGCACAAATGGGGTCGCAGTTTAAAACGAAGCTCATCTCTTCAGAGGTGATCAGTATGCTCGGACTTAGTGGCATGATGTTGATGTGGGTGATTGTGCTGGTACTGGTGAGTGGCGTGTCGTGTGAAGACAGTTCCTTGCCGGAAACAGTTCGGACTCTAAAGGCCCAAGTGAGCGCATTACTGGAAGACTTCGGGCTGCTGGCCAAAACCTCAGAACTCCTCGAGCTGCGGGAGGAGCTAGCAGCGCTCAGGTACGTGAAACACGCGGTTAGAAGCTGTTGTGTAAACCAACCGGTGACGAAGCTTCAGAACAGTTCTTTCAAAACATGTTGCAAACATTATGTTAGGGGAAATTTTACGATGTGCCAATGTGTGGTTTGGTAGATATGTATCAATGTTTCGGAGGAACCTGTTGCCTCCATCTTCGGGTTGGCGTCAGTCCAGTACGGATGTCAGATTTAATATAGTAAATGAATATATCGAAAGTGTTAGACTCTAGGCTTCTGGGGTGGATAAAATTACTTCCTATGACTCCTTTACATATTTATCACTTATTTATCACCATCATCATCATCATCATCATCGAGGATTCCACTCGTTAATCAGTACGGGCTCCAACATATTGCATTCCTTGCATCTTTTCATGCGTCTTCCCATTTCACTTCTTCCTGTCGCAGAATATGTAAAGTTAAAGCTATCCCTGAAACAGGCCGTGAAGGATCATAGTTTTATGAGACGTCGAGGCTCCCACATTTTCTAGACAACAGACTCACAGATGATGTTGAGGTTGTCAGCCTTGAGCATCGGCCGCCCTTAACCCACCAGAAGGATTTTTCGTACTCATTTCTGTTAGAGGCCGATTCGACCCCCAAGTCCATAGTGAGGTCAATCGAAAAATCCAATGATCTCGTTGGGAGTAGAACCAGAGACCTTCCGGCTTGTAGTACAGAGCCTCAACCATCTAAGCTACCGCGTGCCCCTCGCAGAATATGTGCAAAATATTAATAGGAACAGGTGTTTCTTTATATGTCCACATGTTCGTGCCACTTTCTTAGATAATGTATAGTTTACATAAAAAGTTGTCCCTGTTCTTAACTAATTAAGCAGTACACCTTGAAGGCGTATGGGGGAGTGGGCGTATATATCCACATTTTCTTGATCTAGACACTAGTTGGAAGTTGAGTAGTCAGCTTCACACCCCGCCCGCTTTAACCCCAGGGAAATTGCCCCAGGCACCCATTGGATAGGAGGTTGGGTGGACTCCAGAGCAGGTTTGGACAAAGTGGAGAAGAGAAAATTCCTGACCCTACCGGGACTCGAACTCAGACCTCTTGGTCGTCCGTAGCCAGTCGCTATTCCGGCTCACTTCTTTTATATATTTATTTACTTCTTCAGTGCCTCCATTCTAGAAATAAAAGTACCCCACCTGAGTTGTGGAATGAAGGTGATGTGGGGCAGTATTTTAATATTATTTTCATAGATATATTAAACTTAAATTGAAGCTTTTACTCTCACTCAGCCTTGCAGTATCCCCTCACCTACTGTGACAATTTTGTATTCATTTTTCCATTTTCATGTTTACACTGTACCACTGCATACCGACAGAAGAAGTCTTAGGCCTATGTCTACTTTTAACAAGACAACTCTAATAATAACAATAACAGTAGCAGTAGTAGTGTCTATCTCTTCGGCCGCCCAAACATTGGGCTCGGTGGTTCGAACGGTAGAGGTATGTATAACTGTTTCTTCCGCGTAATAAACATAAAAAAAAGGAAAAGGTATCCCTGTAACAGGCCATGACGGCCAATAGAGCTGTGAGAGGTTGAGGGTCCCACTTTTTCGCTAGACAATCACCTAACAGATAGCGGTAAAATTGTCAGCCTTACGCGCCGGCCGCCCTTTACCCCAAAGGAAGATTTCTGGTACTCATTTCTGTTAGGGGCTGAGTCGATCCCAGGACCCTAGTGTGGCTGGAAGAAAAGTAGTCCCTGTACTTAACTAAGTTAAGCACTATGCCATGAAGGCGTACGGGGAAGTGGATGTATAGACCCATATTTTCTTGACCTGGATACTAGATGGAGGTAAATGGTCAGCTTCACGCCATGGCCACTTTACCCCCGGGGAAAGAATCCCCGGTACTATTTGCATAGGAGGTTGGGTGGACCCCAGAGCCGGTCTGGACGTGTAGAAGTGAAAATTCTTCACCCCACCGGGACTCGAACTCCGACCTCTCTGTCGTCCAGCCCGTAGCCAGTCACTATACCGACTGTGCTATCCCGGCTCTTTATAGTGCGGCGGGAAGGATTAGGTAAATTGAAAATTCCACCTCATCGGGACTCGAACCCCCGACGTTCCGGCTTGTATCATTGGGCCTCAACCAACTACACTACCGCGTATTAATTAAACATAACATACTTCAAATAAAACTTGCAAGTCTTAATGGCACTAAAATGTTATGTATGATGAGTAGGCGATTTCTGAGAAAGCTGTGAAGTTCGAATGTCACTTTGCGTAAAGTCAGGGGTGCATGCATCCCGTTGTGCTATTATATACAATTCTTTATTGGTGTCCGTCGCAACACAATAACATAAATTTAGCTTAGCTACATATTTCGGCTTTTAAAGCCAACATCAGGCAAACACATGATCACCATATTCACACACCACTGAACTGCAATTGCGATGGTGAAGCTGGACACTTGATAATTATTACATTATAAAATACATGGTATAAAAATACAATGAAATATAAACTTATTATAAAACGAAAATTATGGAGTAAAATATGGTTAAAAATTAAATTTAACCTTGACCGTTATGTTGTTGTGTTACGACTCCAATAAAGAATTACCAGTACACACCAAAATTAATTTCGTGTATTTTTTCGTATGCGTGGCCAAATTTTGTAGATATTAGTCTAGTAAATTCGGAGCTCTAATACGGCGACGGACACCACATCCTATCATGAGCTATTGTGGTCTTCCGCGTTCTGACAGCGTGTAGTAGGGTACGTGGGAAGAATCCTTTTGGAGGAACTTCCTCTATCTTCAGATACCAATATGATGGAAGCTTCTTAAGCAGAAGAACTGGCAGTTACTCACACGAGGTTCTTAGCTACCGCTTTTCATGTCTTCATACCTGTCTGTCTGACCTTCCAGTTCTACTGCCTCGGGCCTATGAAAGTCTAATTATAGTTATATAATGAGACATTCAATAAAGTAAAAAGCAAATAGAGGCAATAAACAGAAATGTGCAATAATGGATGTGTTTAACCATCTGGCTTTGCTGCTCAATTCATGACATACTCTGCCTCGGTTTTTTCTAGCTTGACAGTAAATTAAATTCTTCCAATATCCAAAAATATCGCTCATGGAAACTGTACCAATTCCGAGCGCTCAGACGCTATGATTTTTAAAACTTTTCCCCACAATTTCATCCAATTGAACTGATTTTCATTATAAGCCGTCAACTAGTGTGGCAGCCTTCAGTTGCTTTTACATCAAGAGCTATTTCTCATACTCTGAAACCGTCTGTGGTTTGTTGGTACAATCTTTCCTGTTTTGACCCAATTCCTGTACAAACTTATAAAATCACGCAACACATTGCGACCATTTGGCGTTGCCTCAGCCATGGTTGATGAAATACTGAAGAAATATTGTGGATATTTACCTCACATCGTCAATATTACAGGCACATTTTAGTCTTGAATATATTTTTGAAATTTTCACCATTCCAACAGAATGTCGAGAACCCATCAGTATCGAATCCAGATAGTCAGTACGGCTGTGTCGGATTACTGACAGCAGTACTAATCGTGTGAGGGCAGAAGAAATATGTCAACACTCGGACTAGAATTTACTTCCTCCCCTTACCGAGGAGGTTCCCCGAGAAGAACAACGTAAACGTTTGTACTCAGAGAAGCCACTTAATATACACATTTAATATATCACTGTTTAATCCATTCGATTACGTGTAGCTGTCTATAGATCGTGACCTTCCCCTGTTGTAAGCTCAGAGTTCATACAAGCGTCAAGTACCACTGCTTTCTTGGATCCAAGACCAGACCTCTTCAGTGAACGATCTTGCAATCAAAGCTTGGCCTCTAGGAGACGATTATAACGTGTTCAAGAACAGTCCTGTCGATAAGGAATCAACAAGTGTGCTTCCTGTGAATTTCGACTTCCAATACGCCCTACATCCTAAATAGATTTTATGATTATAACATCAGGGAAAGGGTTCCTTGAAATGCCCGTTTTCACATACGCAATAATTTTTGTGAAATTTTTGATTGAATTCTCCTACATAATTATACATAATACATATGCAAACAGTAACGGATAATGATTATACACTGCAAGTAAAACGTGCTAAAAATGTTTCTTTATCAGGCATACCGAACTTTCGCTATTGCCTTGAAGTTCTCCTTTCATGTAAATAAAATAACTCAAATAATTTATTCTGAAAGTTTAATTAGAGCATTTCCTTTTTCTGGTATTACTTAATCAATCACAAGCTAATTTGAATGAAGTTAAGATGGCTGATCTCTCTCCATGGTCGCACAGAGACCCTGTATTATGGCTGTGCTTTGCTTGGCGTTTGATACAGGCAGCAGAAGAGTCAAGAGAAAGTACGAATTATCTTAACGTCGGCATTATATGGGGAAAGCTTTGCTACTTAAGCAGAATTAAATATCAAATGGCTGTTTTACTACTCGAGCAATTGATGTTAAAATAAATTTCTGTGTAATAAAATACCAAAAATTCAACCTTTTCAGAAATTAAACATTAAATATGACCACAGTCCCCGAATCCTTGATTTGGCTCTATGAAGACAATAGATTATTAGGCGCTCCTTTTGAAGCAAAATCTGGCGTATTATGAGGAATTGACATCTGTCTGTCTGCTCGTCCATTTGTCCGCGCCCTAGTATCAGCGCTTAAAGAATCGAATAGTTTTTTTATTATTATTATTTAATCTGATTCGGGAGACTCGCTAAAATATGTAGTAAAAAAAAAAGTAAAGTAAAGGTATCCCTGTAACAGGCCGTGAAAGCCCATAGGGTTGTGAGACGTTGAGGGCCCCACATTATCTAGACAATCGGCTCAAAGATGGCGGTAAGGTTGTCAGCCTTACGTGCCGGCCCCGCTTTTTCCCGAGAAAAATTATTTAATTAATTCCTGGTACCGTTTCTGTGGCGCGTAAGGCTGACAACCTTACCGCCATCTCTGAGCCGATTGTCAAGGTAATGTGGAACCCTTAACGTCTCACAACCCTATGGGCCTTCATGGCCTCTTACGGGGATAGCTTTACTTCACTTTACCGTTTCTGTTAGAGGCTGAGTCGACCCCAGGGCCATAGTGCGGCCGGAAGGATTAGGTCAATTGAAGAAAATCCAATGACCTCATCAGGACTTGAACCCACGACGTAGTGCCAACTCCAATTTTCAAGTAATTGACCCATAATAAAGTTCACTGTACGCAAGACCATTAAACTGTTTCGTGTTTATCATAAACCGTTAATGGAATTTTGCAAAAATACCGCAAATGCCCTTAATAAATTGCAAGGAACGTCATTGCGAAGATTCTGCATTTAATTAGGGAGTATATCCATTCCAGTCTCGTTCTGTTGTTTCACGTCTAGATAAATAGGCTGCACACATTTCGGATTAACGAAAAAAAGAAAAAATGCATCTACTTTGTCCTGAGAAGCTGTGCGGCTGGAGCGTGAAGGTTAGTCTTTGTGCTCCCTATATCTATATGCTGCATGGTGCTTGGACACAGATGCCACAATATACATCAAGGTGGGAACTGAATCGGTCAGATTAGTGACATGTGATCTGCATTCTACGTTCAAAGTCTGAAATTACGATAAACGATACATGAAATTACTAAAAACAAACCGTAAATGTGTTATAGGAGGGAATTTTATGTTCTTCGAACCTGAGAGATCCGCTTCTCTGACACCAAAGTAATTCAGAAATCAGATCAATATCCCCATTGAATATTTTTTAGATATTCATTTTTCCAATGTCGCACCAACGTGGAAAGTGGATTTCGCTCTGTTGTCGCCGAAAGTAGGTACAAAATCCAAAAAACTGTCAGTGGGAAGATGGCCTACTCTTAACATGTCCGCTCGCTGAACCTACAAATATACACACCCTCTTGAAGACAACTGCTCTCTTACATATGTATGCTGTACATGATTACTATTGCAGTGGACACTGTAACTTTCGCTGTATCGCTCTGAATGTGTAGTTTTATAAAGAGGTTTCTTAAAATTATATTTAATAACTTATTTGGTTACTGACAGACCGTGATAAAAGTTAAGCGTGACTGCAGGAAGTAGGTAGCATTGGATGTTTTAATATCCTACAATTGCTTAAAAATAAAATAAACGTGTATTGTAAGAGCCACAATCAGATTTTATCGGTGGATATTTTTGGTGAATACAGCCGGATGGGTAGGTAAATGAAGGGGTGGTTGGGTGAATATATGAGCGGCTTTATAAAAAATGAGTGGTTGAATGACACACTGTATTTTGTGTCCCCAGGCATGAGCTGTTAGAGGCCCGTCAAAATAATCTTGCAGCAAGTTCCACGACAGGCAACCAGCAAAAGAACGATCACCTGACAGTACAGTGGCTGGCAACTACCGTGAGCGAGTTGAGAGGTGAGGTGACAGAGGTGGCTGCTTCGCACAACACATCTGCAGAGCTTCAGCGCAGAGAGGAACTCAATTCAGAACTGGGACTTCTGCGCGGAGACGTTGCCAGCGTGCGGAAGGATTTCGAGGAGCTGCAAGCAACGCAGCAGAGAGGCGCAATAGCACTCGCACAGGCGGAACAAGACATTATGGACGTCAAGACGCAGGCGCAGAATGTGGCAGCAGTTTGCGCCGACACTCGGAATCAGGTAGCGCAGTCGCAAATGCGAAAGATTTGGCCCAATTTCTCTAGCCAAAACGAGGAATGACTCGTGTATCTGTATATGCCTATGTACACATGGAGGGCCTAAAAGTGTATACATTCACTTCCGCCGCCATTTCCTTCGACTTTCCTGCCATTCGATAAGGTTGCTCTGGAATTCCTGTGACTAGCACCATTTTTTGGGAGAATGCCATACTGTACACCGTATATTACGTCAGGTTAAATTTGGCAAATATCCATAGTTAACCTCTATTGCAATGTGTATACATTTTTGGGCTCTTCTCTGGGTGTATCCGTATGTATATTTTAGCATGTAGATCCGCTGCTGGGCAACGACAGTGAGATAAGCAAATATACAAGAGCCGTTGCTGAGTAACGGCTTCGCAAACAAACATGCTCCCACTTAAACGATCTGACTACAACAGTGAGAGCGGTGTTCAGTATTCGGTATTAGAGGGGGTGGGTTTCCCCATGCACCGCAACTAGTAGTCTCTACTGTCGCCATACCCTACCGGTACTGGTGCTCGCTATCAGCCCCTTTCTGCCAGCGAGGTCGGCCCTCTTCTGGCAGTGGTACCTGATAACTCCCCCATCTACCGGAGTCATTGGGAAGTACATGGGCGGGAAACTTTTTGCCTAATTTTGCTCAGAGGTCTCGCAGAGACATGATCTTTTACGTGCCGTAAATCTACGACACGGGACCCACGGCTTAAAGTCCCTCACGGAGGACTTGTTCCCTGAATTTTTCCGCCCTTAAAAATTCCCGCGTACCTTGAGTCATGAGGTGAGAACGTTACCCCTAGACTACGGAGGCCGCTGAGTAGCGGTGTTATATACGCTGTCTTTGCCGAGATGTTATATGCGGGATAAGTTGGGAGCTGCAGTTAGTCAGTCAGTGAAGAGAAGACTAGGAGTTTGGTGTGAGATGGCCGCCATCCTGGGTGTTATTCAGTTGGAGCAATGAGTCGGTTGTAGGATATTCGCCAGACCATAAGAACATAAGCAGAGAATATCGTTAGGATCCGGTACCAGGAAACGACTAGTGAAGACATAAAAGATATTATGTGTGCTGCAGTTACAACTGTCTTTAGAGTGCGCAAACCAATGACGCCGTTATAGGTGCTTGTAGCTACGAGTTTTGTGTATAAGCGGTCAATAAATCGAGTCGCCAATGCAAACTCCGTCTATAGTCACACTCATACACGTGACAATATGTTAATTTTTTATCAGTTTCAGAACTGTTTAAGACTTTTTAGGATGGTACAAATAGTTACCATAACCTGTAAAATATTCCTGTCCTACGGCTGCAAAGCCGTCTCGCTCCGAGGGATCTGGTGCTTTGGGAGACAGTGTCTGTCCGTCCATATTTGAAACTATGTACTGAATGAACTCCCAATAAATTCATCACTGGGCGGTGGACTAAAAGTTGTAGGACGAATACAATTTTGATCCGTATGAATCCATGGACATTTCATGTCAGATTTGTGTACAAACTGACGCTGAAGTAAGATTACTTCCTTCGGGCAGTGACCACTCCACAATTACTGCATTCGCACCTCTCATCGCCCCAAAGGCGGACCACAACCAGGCGGCACTGTATCGTACTATCGGTATTTGGGTTGGGGGCTTAATTTCTGATTCGGCATAAAGAGTGTAACTCACTGTGGCCACTGACAAGGGACAGACGCGTCGTCTCGTCGAAGAAAAACCCGTAACTGTCCACACTGAGACTAAAATGTGGTTATGAGCCTCTCGTGGGGCTCGACACCAAGAAAATATGACTGACCGTCAGCCGTATAGTGACTTCGATTCGGACTCGGCACTTTGCTGGTTACAGAGTGAGGGAACTTTCCATTTTAAGGGTCCATCACAACGTCTACTTTAGATCAGCCTCAAACCGAACACCTTTCCGAAAAAACTGAACAACGTATAAACATGTACGAGTAAATAGGGTCTAACGTAAAACGTATATCTCCTCGGACACATGGCGTCGATTATGAATATGTGGGAATTGACGTTCTCATGGTGGTGGTTATGAAGAGTTCTATTTGTTTAAAGTCAACCGACGTTTCGGAGAAACACGTCGTCTCCATCATCATGGTAGGAAAATAAGCCAAGGAAGGAACCATCGTTATTCACTGCTTGCTACCTTCTTCACGCTGGTTTATTGCTTGCCTTATTATTTGACCCTGAGGATGGAGGCGACATATTCATCCGAAATTTCGTTTGGCTTGACTACATGGCGTTTTATCCTAGAAGACAGAACTCTTGCATTTTAAGCGTGTTTATTTCAAGAAGGCTTAGGTGTACTTAAATAAATGGAATGAAATCGTGGCTATCGGCTGAACGACCAGAGTTCGATTCCCGGAAGAGGTAAAGACTTTTCTCTTCGTCAGTATGCCCAGACTGGCTCTGGGGTCAACTCAGCCTCCAGTCCACTTGCTAATGAGGCTGCTTCCTACGGACGTGAAGCTGGCTTTACTTCCGTCTAGTGTTTTGCGCGTGGACCTTCTTCTGCGCCCCGTACATCCTCATGGCTTCATGCTTAATTGCATTTACCTGAACTACTGTCTGTGTATAGCACGATTATCTTTGAGGCAACGGGTTTGCACCCGCAATGAATGAATATCAAAAGTATTGAGCAGTTAGTGTGTGTGTGTGTGTGTGTGTGTGTGTATGTGGTTGCCTCGCGATGCCCAGATCCTCCAACCCAAAGGTATAGTTTTATTAGGGGATCAGAGAGGACCATCTGCATGACGTGGGCTGTTATTTGTGAGCCCCCCCAGAGTACCTGGTATGCCTGAGGGCGGACCTGCTGCCTCCTTTAGCAGCTGCTAACACATAAGCCATGGAATTCCTTTTCTATAGCGACTTGTTAAAGCCTGCTTAAGTTCGATGTTGCCAAATTTAGGAGCCAATTCAATAATTTCTACGTATTTAGACAAAGTTACGATTCCCTGTGTACCCAATCACCATTCCTCGAAGGCGTAGTGGGGATGTGGAGGTAAAGATCGGCACTACAATTACATTCAAGGGTTTTTCTCCTTGGATCACATCGTCATGAAACAATTATAGAACATTCAATCAGGAATCGAACCAGCGACATCCCGCCGCAACGATGAAGCCAACGTTTAGCACGGGGAAGAAGGACGTCGTTGCAAATTTTGTTTGGAAAATCTCAAGGAAAACGACTATTTGAGAGAAGCAAGACTAGATGTGAACAAGATGTGAACTTGTGAAATGGATTTGACAGAACTTGAGCCGGGCCGCTATTAATGTGTCAAATGTTTTGTTTGTTTATCTGGCAACACTGCCAGCCGGCGGCTTGGCAGGTGCTGACGCTCGGATGTGCCAGGGTCACGCCAGGAGCCCTGAGCCTGACCCTCCTTGTGGTTAGGGATCCCATACCAGCGCGTAAAGTCCATTTGACATGTAAGAATGGAACCACGTCTGAAATCGCTCAAATACTTATAAAACTGAAGTTTTCATTCAGTCTAATAAGGGATAGTGCAGTCGGTATTCCGATTTGCTACGGACTGGACGACCAAGAGGTCGTGGTTCGAGTCCAGGTAGGGTCAAGTATTTTCTCTTCTCGTCCAGACCGGCTCTGGAGTCCACCCAACTTCCTATCCAATGGGTATAGAGGGCTCTTTCCCCGGGGATAAAGCGGCGGGGGTGTGAAGCTGACCACCCATCTGCAACTAGCTCCGAAGTCAAGAAAACGCATGGCGTAGTGCTTAATTAGTTAAGCACAGGGACAACTTTACCTTTACCCAATAAGAATATTAAAATCAGTTCGCGGATACGAAGCACTAGCACAGGCTCCTGTCTGTCTGTCTCTCGCCCTTTCGGTCTGCCTCTCGTGCGCATGAAACTACTCTCGGTTCTTTCTCTCTCTCTTTCTTTCTTTCTTTGGTTATTTAACGATGCTGTCAGTATCGGCAATATATAACGTCGGACGAAAGCTGAATTGGGAGGGTTTTGGAAGGAAGAGCCTGCTTCAGGTACTATCCCGACATTTCCCTGGAGGACTGAGGAAAACCATGAAACACCTCAGCCAGGATAACCGATGTCCCGACCGAGATTCGAACTGAACATCTCCCGAATACTCGCCTAGAGCACTGTCGCTAGACCAATGTGATCGGTTCAGTTCTTTCTAAAATAATCATATTTCATTCATTCATTCATTCATCAGTAATCTGTCAGATGACAGGTCCACAGTCTCTTTCAAAACAGTTCCTGCACTTAATGCGATCTTCTGCTTTTGGAAAGAGACTATCCAGGAAAAGTTGCTGTACAAACTTGAACCATCTTGAGCATCATTTGCTCTGTGCTTCAAGTCGCTGCTGATGACGCTGCTTCCGGCATCACTTTTTGGTCTTAGGTGTCTCTCTTCGTCTGATACCTACCCTTTGACATGTCCAGCAAGGGAAGCCCTGCCAGTAGCTACGCTACCGCTGGTATAGCTCTCAGGGTCCTTGGCATACTCATACCCCCTCGCCACGATAAGGTGGAGACACCAACGAGGAGGAATCATATAACATATTTAGGAATTAGGCTACGGGCTGGACAACCGACTAATCCGAGCTCGATTTCTGGTAAGGGCAAGGGATTTTCTCTTCTTCATATCGTCAAGACCGGCTCCCAGGAACACCTAGACTCCTATACAATGGGCACCGGCGGCTGTTTCCTCAGAGCTAATGAAAGAGGGGCGTGAAGCCGATCAATCACCTCCATGTAGTGCCTAGGTTAAGAATGGTGGAGCTATACTCCCACTCCCCCATACGTCTTNGAAGATTAGCAGGGGAAACCGAAGTACTCGGAGAAAACCCGCCCCAGCGCCACTTTGTCTACAAAAAATCCCACTTGAGGAGACCCGGGATCGAACCCGCGCCGCTGCGGTGGGAAGCCAGCGACTAACCGCTTGAGTTGTGGCGCGGCCTCACGATGGTACATTAATTCAACTATTATGTTCCTGGGGGCATGCGGTAGCGTAATTGGTTGAGGCACTATGCTACAAGCCGGAAGATCGCGGGTTCGAGTCCCGATGTGGTGAATTTTTCAGTTGACCTAATCCTTCTGGCCGCAATCTGGCCCTGGGATCGACTCAGCATCTAACAGAAATGAGTGCCAGGAATCTTTTTGGGGGGTAAAGGGCGGCCGTCGCGTAAAACTGACAAACTTACCGCCATCTGTGAACCGACTGTATATAGAAAATATGGGAGCCTCGGCGTCTCAGAACCGTATGGACCTTCACGACCTGTCACAGGGACAGCTTTAACTCACCTTTTGTTATGTTTCTAGACATCACCCATCGTTCGAAACGTCGTGTTTTAAATAAAAAATGACGATGGATAAAGTCCAGAAACATAGTAACTGTAAGAACTTTAATTCTTGCTTTGTTTTTTATGTTAATTTTCTATATACTCTATTACATTTCTTAGCCTTCTCCTGTTCTCCCTCATGACAAAAGGCGAAAGGTAAAGTTGTCACACCATGAAGACATATTGGGAAATGAGGTATGGCTCCACCATTCTTAACCCCTACACTAGAAGGGGGTGAATGGTCAGTTTCACCCCCTGCTGCTCGACTCCTGGAGATCCACCCCGATATCCATTTTGCTGGGTGAGTTCCAGAACCAGTCTGAATATTATGGAGAAGGGGAATCCTCTGACCCAGCCGGGAATCGAAATGAAATTCCTCGGTCGTCCATCCCGTAGGATAGTCACTATACCGACCGAGCGACCAATCCCGGCAGCCATTCTCCTCCCCATCATCCCCACAACTTTCTTAAAATCTATATAACTGCCCCAACTCCGAAGTGTTCTTTATCAAGTTTTATATTAATATATGCAAAGAGATTCAAATCACACGAGTATATTAAGATCCTAGATAAAGTGATCCAAATTAACTAAGAATACAAAGAGCTTGACAACGTTTAATGTTGCTTTAAAATTCCGAATTTTGTCGATGTCCGTCCCGTAGTTTGGCGGATATACTAGAAGACATGGCAAAACTAGAGGGCACGTACTTTTTGAAATTATTTCCCTAAGCGTAAATAAGAAGTCTGAACTTCTGAAAAGAAGAAACTAAACTGAAGAAGCGTGTACAAGAAAATAAACAAGAGGAAACAACAGCCTGACTGGGAAGTGCCACGTGTTTCCGCAATAACCGTCACACAAAGCAGCTGGGATGTGAAGCTGAAGCTCCATCGCCGCCGAGGTCAAGAATGGTGGAGCTATGTCTAAACTCCCCCATACGTCTTCATACTGGGGGGTTAATAATTACGCATAGAAACAATAGGGTAAAGCAGCGGGGGCGTGAAGCTGACCGCTCACCTCCAAGCCTCCAAGTAGAGCCCAGGTCAAGATTATGTGAATCTATGTATCCACTCCCCCTTGCGTCTTCATGGCGTAGTTCTTAATGAGTTGAGCACTTGGACAAATTGACCTTTATCTGAATGGGGAAGTTGACGGAAATGAAGGAAATGACGTAACGAGTAAGATGCGCTGACGAGCGATATAAAGTGCAAGCTTCTGGAAAATAATTTCGAACGGATGGTTGGTTTATAAGTTACATATTCTGTGGGCCGCGACACAGCTCAAGCGGTTAGTCTCTGGCTTCCCACCGCGGCGGCCAGGGTTCGATCCCGGGTCTGGTCAAGTGGGATTTGTGGTGGACAAAGTGGCGCTGTGGCGGATTTTCTCCAAGTACTTCGGTTTCCCCTGCCAATCTTCATTCCACCAAATTCTCCATCATCATAATCACCCGGGGCAGGCTACAATAGGGCAATCAGTGGCCGCCGTGACGAGTGGATCCAGTTGAACTCTACCCCCCCCCCACTAAGTGAATTAAAAAAAATGTTTACTTATTCTGTGCTGACCTACTGGGATAACAAGCTCAGAAAGCATAATGCATGGTTAACTTAGAAGAAAGAATATCTGAAGGGACTTAGATTAGTCGATGTGGGAGTCGAGATTCGAACTGGATACTTTCTAAATACAAGGCAGCCATGTTAAGATGTGTCAGCGTGCTAGGTAATTTTAATTGTTATTCCAGATGTTCATAAGCAACATTCTACTCGCGCTTAACCCTGTCCATATCACTGCTCAATATTTACGCCATTTGAGATGATGGAAAAAGGACTGCCCGGCTCTTTCTCAGCAGTCAGTGGAAATATGTACAGTGGCTAAAACAGGTTCCAAAACAACTTAATATCAGGAAGCAAACATACATCACTTTCGTATCCTCTTCTGATCAAGTGACTTTCCTCTTGGAATCATCTGTTATTTGTCCTGTTTTAACCCTATGGAGCACAGTAATTTCTATGTGTACTACCTGCTTCAACATTCAGAATTGCTGCATTTCCTTTCACAAGAGAATTATTTTTATAATTCTCACGATGAACATAAATTATTCTCCTACTCGACTTTAATCAGTTGGTCTTTGAAATGAAGTCTCAGAAGTTTCCGTGAGGTCTAAACTGAATACGCAAAGAATGCTTAGATTCACTTCAGGCTTGAAAGCGATAAACAAAAGTTGATTCTTCGTAGTCATGCATTCGTTTGCTCAATTAACAACTTTCAGCTGCACTTCATCACAATTTTCAAGAATGCTCGTTACTGCACACCACGCTCATTCAGCTCAAACCAGTAACATCTCACGATACTATTGTCGAATATCAATTTCAAGAGTTTCCTCCCATCTACGCTCACATTTCCGAAAGGGTCGCTTCTCTTGAGATTTTTCATCCGAAATTTTATGTGCATTTGTAATATCCACATGCCCCATTCACCTCATCCTCTTTAATTTCAATTTCAACGTGGAAATCCTCAGCTGAATAAGTACAGACTCATCATGCAAGGTTCCGCAGGATGAAGTAGTCACTTTCCACACGTTTTCGCCACGTTGGCGACAGTATCGTACGCTACAAAAACGCAACAGGCCTACAACAGACTTTGGCTTAATTTCAGGGTTACAGAATATTCGCAGTCTTCCTCGTCCCTCTCATAGTCGAGCACTCCATAGCTTCCTAGCGATTCGCGGAACGGCAAATGCACAACATACACAGTATCATCTGAAGCTGTCTCTAAAAATCTGTCCAGACACATGAGAATTACAACTCATCCCCAGTTCTAATAAGTTTTATTTAAATATCAGTCGCACTGCATGCGACCCTTTCAGGCCTAGGCATCAGGAAAAAGTCTTCTCTGCCTCAGCGTTATTGTCCTCTTCTTTCTTACTCTCAATTTCGTTTCTATCCTTTGTCTTTGTCTCGTCCACTTCCTTCATTGTTTTTCACCCCTCTTCCTTCTCCTTTCTCTTCTTTGTGCTGACCCACGCAATTATGGGTTCACAATCAGAAAGGGACAAATGGGGTTTAACCCTATGAAGCATGACAGTGGGCCGCATGAATATCTGTACAAGCGGTTCGTGCCCCACAGAGAAATAACGCTGCTTCTCCATATTGAAGGAAACGATCACTGCTGTTAATTCTGTTAACCAAACGACATTTATAGAGATGCCAATTTTCTGCGGGAGAAATTTCAACTTAGTGAACGAAACATTCAAAGTATGGCTACACGATAAAGAGTTAACATTTCTTGTGCTCATCTTTCAGGAAAAGCAGGCACGTGACCTTCAACTTATTCTGATTACTTACATTATGCGGGCTATTTTTTCTCGTTCCAAGGCCACGGTTGGTACCCTGCAGTAATTAAAGTAGCAGCTGTACCATGTGGGTATCCACCAGACCGAATGCAATTGCAACTATTAGCACTGTACACTTACATTTTGTTCTCATTTCCAGTTCCAGACTGCCCAGACAGAATGGTCACTCACAATAAAGTCTCTCAAGAAGTCTCCAAGGACAGGCAAAACTTACAAGGTACGTTAAATCCAGCAAACAATGGCAAAACCACAAAATTTGGGACGTTTCTCTCATCTCACATTAGTATTTGTATTGACTGGAGAGCATAAGTTCCAGTCGTCTTAACCACTGCGCCCCTCGTCTCGTTAGGGCCCTTCGAACAGCCGTGTCCTAAATGCTAGGGCCGAAACCTTACTTGTTAATGTCCTTCTGATATATATGTCGCTCGTAACCATTCTATGCCCTGGCAGATATGAATAGGGTATGTGACAGGAGGAATCATTTTCCTGTCAACATTTCCAGCGCATGCCATTTCCTTGAACGGCTCTTGCTGCTTCATAGTCGGTGGGGCAGCCCAGTGTTTAGAATGGTTCTTACTCAGCTGATCCTTGAGCCTGTGAAACTGACACTGCTGGTTTGGAACCAGGGAAAGAACTACTCTGTCCCTTCTGAGCTGGGGCATCTGCAACATAATTTCCCTGAATCCAACTGTGACAGGGACTCAGAGGAGCGTAACACTGTTCGGATATGCACCTGCCGCAGGCTTGGTATGCATCATGGACCCGTCTGTCTACCAGACAGCCAGTGTTCGCGTGACGGGACCTCCACTTCAAAGTTAGTCTCAAAAGCAAAATTTGGTGACATTTTGTTCTGACCCATCACAATATTGAGTCCCACTACTCAAGCACAATCCTGTACAACTATGCCGGCAAGCCCAGGCCCTGCGCTTTCCCCGGAAAACCAAACAGAACGTCCACATCAGACGGAGAGGCAGTGCTTACAAACTCAGTGAGGCTTACACATGCCAGTCTCTGTAGACAACCAAGAGCAGTCCTGACTCTAGGCCACGCCAACTCTTGAAAACCGCACAACCCTCACACAAAAAAAAAAACACAGGCCTTACTATACTTTTATAAAGCAACTGTATGATTTTCGATTTTAGACACTCAGGTCTTTGCAAGGCCGCTATAACATGACAAACAAGAGGATTAAGCTTCATTAATCTTTTGTTTTAGCCGGTCACGGTAGCCGAGCGGTCTAAGGCATGCACTGTCTTCGCTCGCTCGGAAGCTGAGATCGTGGGTTCGAATCCTACTCAGGGCATGGATGTTTGTGTGCGTTTTTCTGTGTTTGTCTACAGGTAGAGGCCTTGCGACGAGCTGATCACTCACCCAAGGAGTCCTACCGTATGTGTAAGATCTAGAAAAACCGAAGTGAACGGAGTTCATGGAGGTAGGCCTAGGCCCACTGGGGCTGTAGTGCCAAGGGAAAAAAAATCTTTTGTTTCACATGTTCCTTCCAAGAAAGCTTAGCATTCAGGATCATTACCAGAAATTTTACGAAATATGTAGGACACAAAACCCTCTTTAATAGTAGCCCGTTTACCTTCTTTGTCTTGCTGAAGAGCACGCGCTCCTTCTTATCAGGACTGAGACATCTCCTATCTTTGTATTGTGTTCAGAGCCCTAGCCAGTACCCGGGAAATTCCCAGTTACCAACAAGACCATTTCATCAGCGTATCCTTGTGTGTACAGACCCACTCCACTGAGCAGTGCATGGAGTCCGTCCACCACCGGGATCCGCAGTAGGAGGGACACCCTCATCACGGCACTTGGGCCGAGTATACAGCACTGCGCCTCCAATATTCGCACCCCTTGCTTCGGCTGCTGCATACACTGACCCAGAGGCGGTCTCAGTATCATACAAATGAACACGCCTTAGTTCAGAACGAAGCAATTGACTAAATTCTAAGGAAGAGTTCCTCCAACTCACGGTTCGCTGACCAATAGTTGTCCGCGATAATATTGCAACTGATTGCCTCCATCTTGAAGGTCAAGGTTTCTATTTACGCACAACTAAACAAGTGATTTTCATGGTAACATTTTCACATTACTTTCATGTCGAAAGTCATGGGTGTAACTATTGATTATATTTCAGTATCATTCTTAATACTAGTATATTTCGTTTAATATTCGGGTGATAAGCCAAAGAAAATGGACGTAATGAGTGGTCCGTGGTCCAATTTTTGGGAACTCCGGCTCTAAGGTACAGAATGAAAACTATACTCCATCTTGGGGGCATGCGATACTCAACTTCAAGTTCGAGAGTTCATGCTGGAGAATAAATTAACGTTTTCACACATAGTTCTGTAGACAGTAGAGAGCTGTCGATGCAAAAAACGCCGCTGTTGCAACACGGAACAAAATACCAAACCTCATGAATCGGACTCTTCATTACAACCGATAATCAAGACATTTCCCATATTTCAGGGTACCTAAAGTTTCTTTATCACATTTAAAATAATCAGCTGTAGAAATTTATCCTGAGTCAGATGAATCCAATCAACATCCTCACATCCTATTCCTTTGAGGATAGTTTAAATGCCACCCCCTTTTACGAGTATGTCAGTAAATACAAGAAATAATTTAAATAACATTTCAATAGAAACGGTTTCTTCAGTGGCAGCATCTAGAGGAATATCTAAGAGAATGAAACGCGCGCAAATATATGGTGCAGTGAACTTTTTTAGAGGTAATAAAGTGCGCATTATATCGGTTGTTTGTGAACATAATGATGAACCTTCGAATCTTTTGACCAGTTAAGTAACTGTCAACTTTACAAGAAACGTCTGCACCGTAAGTTAATTCGCTCAGTGGCATAACGTTCCTGCCTACAAATTACGTTTATGTTAAGTTTGCTTCATTTTACTTTATGCTTTGCGCTCACAGGCGTTGGGCAATGAAGAGACGGAGAAGGACGGGAAGTACCGTCATCACAGAGTTCTCCGCATGCAGATGGCGGAATTGGACATGTCGGCCAAGAAGCTTTCTGCCAACCAGGTGCATCTAGATCACCAGGTCCGTCGACTAGAGAAACAAATGAAGACGGTGCTGAGCAGCCACCATGGTCGGGGTGGGGGGAACCATGATGCGGGGGTGGGTGAAGTGACTGCGCGGCAGCTGCAGGCTCGCCTGTCTGCTCTCGAGCTGGCCTCTAGAACTGCAGGAAAGGCTGTTTTTAACATGAGCCGACAGTTGGTTGGGCTGGACAAGTTGCACCAATCCATGTTGCAGCTGCTGGAATCTGTGGAGACACTGGAGAACAAGGTGGACCGCACAGTGCCCGATCTTCAACGCGAGATCTCCAAGATGGAGTTCAATATGGCTCAGATGACTTCGTCTATCTCACTACTTAAAGAGGACCAGGTAGGTACAGGTTTACTGGCAATTCTGACATAAGGTTACTGCATTTCCTAGGAATGACTGAATTATGCTGTGGCAGCCTCCTTTCAAATCCCTCCTTATTCATCATTCATATACGAAGTCTGGTAATTTAATAAGGAGACTGCACTTAGAGGTATCAGTGCATTAAATTTTACTGCGAACTGCAGTGTTCCCGTTCAAAGTAGCTCCTTCCCGCCATTATACATGAATTCCAGAGTCGCTTGCAACTGTCGAAGCACTTCCAGAAGCTGTTGTCCTCCGTGCTGTCCATTTTCGACATTTGAGTCCGATTTTTCATGTTGTCGGACGATCACGCCAGTTGTCGAATTCAATTTCGTCCCTTCATTCGGAAATCTATACCATTCAAAAACAAGTTTTCTCGGCATATCCTCTTCTTTATACGCATGTTTTAATATTTGAAAGGTTTCGGGTGCTTTTCCCTTGTTGAAATAAAGATTTCATGTTTATATTTGTTCAAAATATGCATTACCTATTTTCGAATCCAGATATCGAAACACTACTTCAGTTAATGTACAACAGCTCTGTACCCGCCAGACTTGACAAGAGGAGTGTGTTAATACGGAGAGTCTGTAAGCGGCAACAATCACCAGCGATCACGAAGTGACACACGCTGCGCGGTATAGCGAGTATCCTTATTATGTTCTGGTATCGTACATCTCATATCACTCGACGCCACATGATTAATAAAGTACTGTTAAACGTCCTAAGAATCTATCAGCCTAATCAAGTGATGCTGTACTATTCAACAAATATTGATGTGTTAGGTCCCTTGATTTGTGTAACGACACTTTCTCAGCTGCATGGATCACATTCGTGGACTAGGAGGATGACTGAATCATAAACTGGGGAAGGTGTGTATGGAAGAGGTCGTGTCCTATCTTAGCCCAAAGACACTACTGCAGAGCCCGAAACTTAAATAATCTGTCATACTGCGGATCGAACAATTTTAATGTAGTGAGTGAAATCCAATGAGGTGAAACCTGCGGCACAACCTGTTACGGTAGATGTCAACTGACTTTCCCAGTTCTCTCAGTGTGCTCTACGTTTCAGGGGAACCAGCAATCCTATCTGAAAGCTCTTGATGCAGGGGTGTCGGCCATGCAGAAGCATCAGGAGAGAGACCGCGGTCACCTGAGCGTCCTGCAGGCCCAGATATTGAACCTCACAGCCTCAGCGCCACAGGTCAGTGCGACATCTTTGGTTGCTTTACTTCTGCTGCTGCTCCTGCTTCCTCAACCCTCCTTCTCCTACTTCCACCACCACCGCAAACGCAGCCACGACGACTACTACTACTACTACTACTGCTACTACCTCCGTGGTGCTGCAAACTATCTAGAGAGCCCTGTCTAGATTAATCTTTACTCTTACAAGCGGCAGTTCAGGCTCCAGTCAGCCCTTTAAAGCCTCAAGTTCATCTACGTAGTATTTAAGAATTCAGGTCCCATCTCACAGAAAGCACAATGTGTCTCCATTACAAAGCCCACTGCAGTTTAGACGTAACTGCTGATCATTACAAGATTCGTACCAAATTTATAAATAGAGAGTGTGGACAAAATGCATAGTGTTCTAATGTTAAAAAAGGTGGTTACGAAAAGTTACCTCAAGGTCGGTAGCGGTCGGTAGGAAGACGCTTATCCTAGGTGAACACCGAGCAATACGTTTACTATTGTATATACTTAAGCAATTGTTCTGCTCTCTTAGGTAGGCCGCACACCGGCATGCGTCAAGACATGTAACAGTCAAGACACGATGTCCGTGACAAGACGCAAAGAAAGGAGCACAGCTGAAACGAATGAGATTATGAAAACTGCCGCACACAGGTCTGAGTCATGATGCTGACGAATCACGAATGAAGCAAGACTGCGTCTTTTGTCTCAAGTCTTGATGCTTGTCTTGACGCAGTTGGTGTGCGGCCGCCCTTACACTTCACAAGACATACTTCAACTGTGACGCCCCTTCTTGAAAACTAGTTAATTAAAAGAAGTTACTTATACGACGTATGTGATCTGAAGTCAGAAGTTGCTTGTCTCGTGACTTGAGATCCAGAGTTATGATGTTATTAACTCCGCCTTGTGATTCAGAAAGAGAATCAGTTGTTGCTCCTCCGAAGTCGTGGTCAAACAGATGTAACTCCTCTACGCTGTGATAAAAAGGTTAAGGCGTTGTGCCTCTGAAGTCTGTGATCCGAATATGTCGTTGCCGCGATACACGAAGCTGGCGCTGCATGGGGCTGCAAGCAATTTTGTTGTCTATAGCCGGCGGCTCGCCTAGGTTCAAATTACGTTTCGAGTTTGGTTGCCCCCGGCTGGTTATGGAACCGGAGGGAGCCCGTCGGCTGTTTGAAATTTAGAATTTTCCTAAGCTACAACAGTCTCAGTCGTCTTCTGACGTGTGTAATGCCCGACATCTTTCTTAGTACGTGACAATTTAAGGAAACAGCCTGTCCTCGTTTCAGTTCCTACCTATATTGCTTTGCACAGTGTTTGCTAAAACGAAATCAAGGGGGGGCTTCCCCTTCAGTTCGAAAGTGTCACGAGTATGAAGCGTACACATGACAGTCTTCAATGTACGCTGTGATCTAAATGCCTGTTTTAATATCAAACCTGGATGAACGTGAATAAAGCTGCAGATTATCTCCACTTCAGGAAGCAAGTCTAGGGATCGGATTAGGACTGTCCTGTCATAGAATTAAAGAATATCAATCTCTTGTTACTTTATTTACATATATTATTATTTGTGAAAACGGCTGATACATGCCCTTGAGAATTTCTGCCCTATATGGAGAATCGGTTGCTCTAAGGCCTCTGTCTTTAAATAAAAACCAGAACCTCACAGAAAATACATTAAGTCACGGAGAGGAATTCGAATTCGAGATTTCCGCGTGCTAGCGACTTTACACTGTGCCTTTGCCGGGATCGGAGAAAATGTGACTGATGCATTTTAATAATGGTACAAATTCCACATCCAAAATGTGAATTGAGTCATCCATTGAGTCTGGTAGTTTTCTAGTCTTTCAAACGTTTGTACGTATCTTAAATCCAGCTTATTTCGAATTTGATGGCTGATTGCTGTATATTACATGAACGAAACGGTATGGATTATACATGAACAGTTTACTTCCTTTGCAGATTTTGTTTCCTTATATAAAGCCTGAGACTAAAGACGGTTTCAACAGCAGCTCCATCTGGAGTTTGGTGCAAGAACTGTCTGTGGTGCAGAGAGGATACCAGCAGATTATCAGCTCTCTACCACGAGGTGAGTTCGCTTCCTGGAACCTGACAGACGGATTATCCGGGAAGCATGTCATCTAATTTGACAGGGGTTCCTAAAAATTTGAGCTCATCCAAGCTCCTTGATTTTTTATTTCCTGTTATAAGCAGTACTAACGCGGAAGCATGAGGTTTGGATCCATTCATTCTAGGACGTATACAGGTTTGATTTCGGAATTTGGAACTTAATTCTGTAACATCGGTTCACAGCTATGATGGACGAAGAATGCGACTTAAGTATGTTAAAGACCTTGTGGTTCATTGATTGCTTATACAGACTGATTGTTACAAAGATAATCAGAATACAGATATCATATTGAATAGTCTGAAACTTTTATTTTGGTATTCGTTAATTATTCACCACATAGTTCTGGGTGTCATTAAGAAAATATGCAGACTTCAATTTGAGCTTCATGAATACCAAGCGTAATAAGTGACCGGTACACATCAGAACTGATTGGACCCTGCATCTCGTATTGTGGACTACCAACACTAGGTCCAATCACAGCGCGTAGACTAGATTCGGAAATGAAACACGAGGACGGACAATTCATGCACTTAGCAAAAAGAAGGCATGCCCAACTGAAACCCCGCTTTAGGGAGCCAGCCAAACCGTAACAACATGTAGACCTGTTCCTTACTGAATATGTAAGAAGCCAGAAGGAAAGAGACCACAGGGAAGACCAAGGCGTAGGTGCGTGGACAATATTAGAATGGATCTTAGAGAGATAGGATGGGATGGTGTGGATTGGATAGATCTGGCTCAGGATAGGGACCAGTGGTGAGCTCTTGTGAACACGGTGATGAACCTTCGGGGTCCATAAAATGCTTTGAGTAGCTGCAGAATTGGCGGCTCCTCCAGAAGGGCTCAGCTCCACGAGTAAATAAATAAGTTACAACTGTATGAAGTTTAGTTTTGAATTATTCGGCTTTCTGACTCTGAGCAAATTACACTGATCCCTTGAATGGAGCAACGTGGTGTAGCAGAACCCGGTAACCACATGCTGCGTTCTTGCTAGGGTCTTCACACAGGACTGGCATTGTGGGATTCACAAGAGAAGGTCGTGTTTATTGGCAGCCATAAGCACACGTGCGCGCGCGCAATTTTATAGTTTCTTTCTTTCCCATTTAGAGTTATCAAAAAGGATCAGCTTCTAATTGGGAAACTAAAGCATTCTGCGTCGTACCCACAGTGAGAAGTGCACGACTGAAGCATAATTGAATTGTACTACCAATTTCAATAAAGTTACTGGATTAGTGGTGAAACATTTTCCCTTTGACTGTGGTTGTTACGTATGGCCTCCCCACTGAGAGGAATCTCATTATACCACTACTCTGACCTAGCCATATATCGGACCCACATATCACGTAATTGACAGCGTACTTAACTACAGTTCGAATAACAAGGCGGGATCTGTTATAAAGCATATCGGCAAAATTAACTCTATTGAAGGAGTCTTGCACGTTAATTCTTCTGCAAAATGTTTAGGCCATTGCATTCTTGTAAAGCTACGTAAGGTGTATTTTCTTCTTTTTCTTCTTCGCCACACAACTCCCTTGTTCCGCTCCGCTGTACCCGTCTAATGAAACCTTATTGAAGCGAAAATAAGATTCCATAGCTGGGGAATTAACAGAAAGATTTCTACCATAAATTCCGTGGTCAAATGCCACGAACGAGATTCCAAACTGTATCCAATTTACGGGTCGCCTCAGCGGGACAACGTAATCAATACCGCGACTAGCTATGGGCTGGACGACAGAGTGGTCGGAGTTCGAGTCCCGGTAGGGTCAAGACTTTTCTCTTCTCCATGTCATCCAGACCGGCTCTAGGGTCCAACCAACCTTCTATTCAATGGGTAACGGGGCTTCTTTCCCCGGGAGTAAAGTGACCGGGGCGTGAAGCGACCATTCACCTCCAGCTGGTGCCGAGGTCAAGAGAATGTGGAAGTACACATCCAGTCCCCCATTTTGTATACGCTGTAGCATGGGTATTCGTATACCCTCACCTCTCATGTAGCAGCACTACCAAACAGTATGGGACTTTGCTGTATGTGAATGGAAACAGTCACAACCAGGAACAGGCCCTATGAAGGGATGAAATTACGTCTCCCTGTACGCTTCATCTCCAAAAATATTCGAATGATTGCGAATAAATTTGGTATTTGAGGGTCATAGCAAACGTTGCTGAGTTAATTGAATTTTGGTTCATATCGGTCCAATAATCTACACGGAGCTCCAATTTAGTTCATGATTTTCTCAAAAACGGCTCGCCCAGCAAAATTTCTATGTACAGTTAAAAGTAAACCTATGGATTTAATTGTGATCTATAATTTCTATCTGAAACTTGTTTCGAGTTAATGATACACAAAGAAAAAATATAAACTTGTAGGTTTTCATGACGGCAAAGGTTCATGTGTGGCGTTCTGGTTATGACGCCGCGTAGTCTGGTAGATCAGAACCAACATGTTATAGGAAATACTTCTTCCATCTTCACGGTAGAAGAGAAATACCCTGAAGATTTAGTAGTATACTTCCTTCAGACATCAGAATTTCATAGCACTGAAGACAGCAACATGGCAAGAAACAAATAATTTCTGGCTCTGTGTGGCGTGATTAATTCTGCAGTAATAAATGTGTACATGCAATAAATTAAAATTACGACCTACGAGGTCTGTAACCCAAAAAAGAACGTATTTGTTAAATGTATGTATTACTTTAGAATACACTTTTCCTATCCTGCTTTGTTAGTAAACCATGCTGCAGGGGTTTTCTTAAAATGCTCATGTAAACAACCAGCCAATCAAAAAATCTCATATTTTTAAAAGGAAAATTAAGGTTCATAATCGTGTTCTCAGAACCAAATCCTCTTCAGTCTTGTATAGCCTACTTCCGTTAAAATAGAGTATACTTTAATCCTTCCATCTAGCCTCCACGTAGGTCTCCCAAAATGCAATTTTCCTTTGACACTTTCTGATAAAAAATTTCGTTTGAAATTTTTGCCTCTCCAATGCATGCTACGTGCTTCACCCATCTTATCCTTGATTTGATCATTATAATATTTGATGAAAGCTATAGATTTTGAGACTCCTGGTTATACAGCTGTCTTCAGCCTCCTCTTACTCCATCTTAGGTATAAATATTTTCCTCAGGACTCTGCCTTCACATCCAGGGTCACTGCAAGTTCTGTTTCCAGACTGTGGGGCGGTGCAGGGGCCGAATGGTCTGTACCTCATCTCGCCAGGCAGTCTGGGGATTCCTCTCCTCATATCATGTGACCAAGAAACAGCTGCAGGGGGCTGGGCCCTGGTACAGAGGAGAGTGGACGGCTCTCAGGATTTCAACCGCAAATGGAGCGAATATGCCACAGGATTTGGCTCGCCATCTGGTGAGTATCCCTGGCTCGCCATCTGGCGCCTGAGTTTGTTTCCGTGGCACGTAAATTTGAAAACAATTCTAATGAATAGGTATCCAGCAGATGGTGTCTGTCGCTACAATTAAACGGCAGTTGTTCAGATAATCAAGTAATCCGTGAAGGGCCATCACCGCCATTACAAAAGCATACGCTGTTTAACCCCTTAAAGCATAGAAGTAACTACACGTACTGTTTACTTTAAAATTATAAAGACTGCATGTTACCCACAAAATGAACTTGTGTGCTTGTATATTCTTACAATACTCAGCGATTATTTCACTAAACGGCATTAACCGTTTCGTCTTTGCAACAGAGACACAATGTGTTTACTATGCTGCAGAAACTGAATTTTTAAATATATAGATGAGATTTAGGTTTCAAATGGGTTGCAGTTAACATCCTCGCAACGGTTGCTAGAAAATAGGTCTTGCGAGCAGAGGCGAGGTGGCCGGCAACGTCGGACAATATCAGACATTTACTTACCACATTCCAGTTGTTATTTATTTTAACAAGTCAAATTTGTTGTTGAAAATGAACACCTAAAGAATGTTTAATGACTTTAAAGGCGGGGGTGGAGGCGGAACATTTTAGATTAAAATACGCCCGCAGACGCTCTGAGAAGCAATGGCGTCTGGACAAGAGATACACTGGAACTGTCCCTTTGTTTGAATAAAAGGAGAAAGTGATGCTTATCCCTACAAGCTCTTTCTTCCGAATTCGTATCTGGAAGAGGGAGTTGGGGTTCGAAGCCATGTAACAGTAAGTATATAGTACAAGCAATGACATAAAGATGGGCTATAGGCGTATTACAGTCTGTAAGAAGTATAACGTTCCCCACTGTACTGCGTTCGATTATGTTCACTGAAACTCTGACCCTGTCGAAGCCATCCAGCCAAACTGAGACGTACGCTGATTTTTCTTCCACTCTTCGAGATATAACTGTTGAGGGAACAAATTTCGGATTCACTAGAAAGACGCAAAAAGACTGTTTTTCAATTATCTGTCCAAAATTCATTTTCAGTTGTCAAACAAAGTGCATGCAAAGACTGGTTCAAACGACAGAGTGAGAAGTTGCCTTTGTGTCAGTCGACGGGACTTCCACTACTAGAGCTAGAGGATGGTAAAAGAAAATGTCGGGCGTATTTTTAATTTTTATGAAGAAGTGCGTGCAGCTCCTATTTACCCACCTTCCATTAGTTTTAACGTAGGTTAAACAAAATTAACCGTTATTTAGAGCATGGATCCAAAAATCCCCGGACTGTGGTAGAAAGGGGCTCCTTAATAATAGCTATTATACTCATAAACGCTAGCGCGACTTTACTTCCATCTCTAATAATTTTCAAAGGAGAATTTCATGTACCTTCTCACCAGACAAGCTTCTCCGGGCTGTTCTCTCCCAGTATTTCAAGAACAGTCATGTTCGCCGAACTGTGAACAGATTTTGTGTATGATGGGGTTAAATTAACATGTGACAACAGAAAGGTTACATAAAACAGCATTTCACTATGAAGTATATATGTGTTAGCCCCAACTCCCTCGCAGTGTTTCACAAATCTTCCCTGTCTGCGGCCACGAAGTGAAGCGCTGTCAACCTTGATGTTGAACTCATCTTGCAAATGCTGATATGCACAAACATAGGGGGAGACCACATAGAAACTGCGAGTTCGTGCACAGCTTCCACTGAATATTTAAAATGCTTTCTTGTTGTGTTCTGTAACTAATGATTACACAGAGTATCGTACGATTATAATAACGCACTTATCTCTACCTCTACAGACAAGGCAATATATTTTGGCAAGGGTAAACAATTTGATTGAATCACTTCTTCAAGCGATACCAGATTTTCTGATAAGCAGTGGGCCTGGAACGAGCCCCACTCAGACTCGTGAGGATAATTGAGAAGGAAATAGCGGCTCCGGTCTAGAAAACCGAAATTAACGGCAGCGAGATTCGTTGCGCTGACCACGCAACACACACTATCTGCTAAAGTTGACACTAACTTCGACAAGCGGCGATCGCTCGGTCGGTATAGTTCGCATACGGACTAGAACCACGGAGTTTGTTTTGTTTGTAAGCAATTTTCTTCTGTGAGAAAACCATCTGCATCAATCAACTCCTCAGCCACACCATAAACCTAGTTCTGACTGAGACAGAGGCTGTCACGTCACTATAACCTAGTCAGAAAGGAGCGCTACTATCACAGCACACACCTCAAACTATCTGGCAGTTCTACCTATACGCCAACCTGAAACTCAACACACATGAATGCAGGATTTGAGGTTCTCACAGCGATGTTAATGAAGGTATATCTTCTGTGACATAACGCCGTGTAGTCCGTTGAAAGTCTACTGATGTTCTGAGGATTACGTCCCTCCGAGATGTCGGTTGATTTCACCGAACTACACGGCGTTATGTCTCCGAAGATGGAACTCGTTGAACTGATAAGTTCTCCGTATAAGCGAAAATTAGAAGAAACTCTGAGGAATCGGACATTGTATCAAAGCAGCAAAAAGGTCATCTCTAGAAAGTGAAGATACTTTAAATTAGGGAGTGTCCAGGCCCATATGATGGAAGACAATGACAATGAGGGCCAAAGTGGCAAGAAAATTCTCGGAAGATATGCAGGGGCACAAATGAGTGCAGTTTGTCGTGTGTGAGGACTCATATGTCATGAAGAGTGTGCGGCAAAGGAGGAGGATGAATTCGCATGCGATTGTTGTCTGTAAAGGAAAGTGGTTCTAAAAGTTGAAAAGTACTTCTGTGTTTTTATTTTTAATATTATACGAAATTGCATTTACATATTTCCTTTATTTTTGTTTTACAAGAATTATTAGTAATGGCATCCTGTGCAAATATAAGGCGAAATAAATTATCAGCCTGAAATTCTAGTAAAACAATTAGTAAAATATTTCACGATACATCTTCAATTGGCTTATAAGTTTCTTGGGGGGGATGGGGGGGACACACGGTAGCGTACTTGGTTGAGATACTACGCTACGATCCGGAAAGTCGCGGGTTCGAGTCCCGATAAGGTATTTTTTTCAGTTGACCTAATCCTTCCAGCCACCATATGGCCCTGGGGTCGACTCAACCTCTAATGGAAATGAGTACCAGGAATTTTCCTGGGGGGGGGGGTTAAAAGGCGGCCAGAGCGTAAATCTGACAACTTTACCGCCATCTGTGAGCCGACTGTCAAAAAACATGTGGGAGACTCGACTTCTCATAACCCTATGGGGCTTCACGGCCTGTTACATGGATAGCTTTACGTTCTACATTGGGGGTGGAGGGATGGAAGACAGATTGATGGGCAAATTGAGGGAAGTCTACTGTCTGCTGTTTATTTCAACCTGCCGAAACGCGCAGTTCATCTGAATAATCTATATGTCACTTATAATCCATATCGTATAATGTATCGCCCTATACAAATATAGGGCACGGTTTATCACTGTCTCTGTGTAAATCGATGGTAGTATGTAGTGAAGAACAGGAACAGGATATGGCAGCAATGCACGATAGTGAGGGGTTTCTATGCGTCTGTCGGTATTACAGTCTCGACCTTTGCCAAGAAGAGTTACATAACGCGAATACCGAGTAAGATTGTGATTGCAGTGTTTCTCGAGGGCTATAGTATGGGTCTATTATAGTGCATCGATACGGATCTGTGGAAACCGTAGCTATGTACGAAAAAATTTCCCATTGAATTTTCGAAGGACATTTCACTAATACATATAAATCCAGTTCATAATCCACAGAAAGCATACTGTATTGTATAGCACAAAGACGAATCGGTTAATTTCATTTATGGAAGTAACCGCTGTTTGCTCTGCGAACCGTAGAAAAACATAAAAACGATCTGTGGGAAAAAATTCAGATTTTGAATGCTAAAGAAGGTGATTAGTAGTGGTGGCAGTGTGTCATAAGGGTAAGCTCCCCTCCAATAACACTTCTGTTTAACTTGCAGGTGAGTTCTGGCTCGGAAACGAAGCCTTGCATCACCTGACAGCCAACAACTGCTCGTCACTAAGAGTGGATCTCACGGACATATATGGCAAGAGCTGGGTTGCAGAATACGACGAGTTTACTGTCTCGGATGCCAGGGACGGCTACCGCCTGCACGTAGCCGGGTACCAGGGCAACGCGAGCGACGCTCTGGAGTATCAGAACCGGATGCAGTTCAGCGCCATTGACTCTGACCGCGACATCAGCAATACAAACTGTGCCGCAAACTATGAGGGTGGCTGGTGGTTCTCCCACTGCCAACACGCCAACCTGAATGGGCGCTATAACCTCGGGCTCACGTGGTTCGATGGCTCCAAGAACGAGTGGATCGCAGTGGGACGGTCGGAGATGAGAGTTCGACGAAGACCAAACTGCAACTCACACGAGTCAAGTGCCAGCCTTAGATAAGTGGTTGGAGAATAAAGATGACTTGAAGCATCTTGAGTTTGTTTCAAGGAAGACACTGCCAACTGTACCTCAAAAGACAGAGTGTTCACCATTCAGGCTGTGAATTACCACAAACAAAATATATCGATGTGACAGACTGCCATATGAGTGTGCCGTAGTCATTTCTTTAGTCATACATGACCTCAGAGACTTGCATTAACTGATCTTAAGGTCAAAGTGAAGTTTCTGACAGCTCTGAGGAGCTATTTATTACACATTTTAGTCATTTTTGTACGTAGCTTATGTGTATGTATATAGTGTCTGTTTGTAGTGTAAGTATTCGTAATGTAATATATGTGTAATAGTATTACTCCATTTTTGGGTCATACCTAGTTCAATCTGTCTCCATCACCACTTAGTACTCAGAAGAGTTCGATTACTCTGACATTTTCATGTTGTTCCTCAGTCCCTCCAGGCAGGCCCCCTCTATCTCGTGCAGTGTGTTTGTATGCATACTATTCATATTCCTTGCTGTAGTCAATGTAATGTGGGTTCAATAGTTGATTCAACATACAGAAGAGATTTTATGGGCATTACTACTGTTGTTTTAAAATTACGGCATTTTTACGGCAGATTTTCTCAGTCTAGCTCTGTCTTTTAGTCTTGGAGTGTCGGGACCAATCAGAAGGTGGCTCGCAACGTTCGGATGTAGGAGTCTGCTGACACCTTTGACTCATCACCACAAAGAGACCAAGATTAATACCACTGTCTTGCAGTGACACCTGCCGGATGAATGAGATTTCATTGCCGAGATATTCAGGATGTGGATTTGTGACACGGACGCGTCTTAGCACCAGGAACGGCAGAAGCAGAGACGCTCATTCTGAGCTGAAACTATGTTGTTGCGGGTAGGGATGTCTCAAGTCTGGGTACCTGTGTTTACTGCCTGAGAGCGACAACAGACATACGATTAAAGCCGATTCAATGTCCTGAGTTCCGTGCATTCAGAAAAGAAAGACCTGCTTGACTCAATTCCCCAGATGACCAACTTACCCAGACAAGCTGGGCAGTATTTACCACTAAAGAGGTGACCTCTATTGCAATTCAAGCAATAAGGTGGATTGCTACATGATGTCTCAAAGTGGCCACTCTCTCCACAAATTATATGGGGCAAGGCTTACTGGGCATCTAAATCATTGGCAGCAGAAACAGCACACTGGTTTCCGGATGTACGTACGTATTTTGACCCTTATTGCGCTAGGCAACAATAGGTACTTAGAACTTCGCGAAGACAGTTCGATGATTTACTGTCCCTTTTCCGATTAACAGACTGATCAGAAGGGGCAAACTGGATCCCCTTGTCACTCATCCCATTTAAGGAACCAGTGCTAAAAACTCCCCTGGACGAGTTGAGGGACGCTCCACCTGAACGGAATACGAACACAGGAGCTCAGCTTCTGAGACAGCCTTCACTTATTTTTCACTGTATACCTCCATAGACTGCACACAATTCTTCAATCGGAAGGCATTCCCAACTTTACCCACTACCCACTGTCATGTCAAAAGCCTTATGAATGTAGGAAGGATACAGTCACTTCTTTGCCTTGTCGGTGCTCCTGAATTCCACTGTAACAAATCGCGGTGCCGATAGGTAGACTGGGTGTTGTAGCACACTTCTCTGGATTATTGGGTACCGAAGTGACTTTTACTGCATAAAAGCCATTTTGAAAGGACCCCTCCGCAGCTATGCCGGGGTGGGGATCTCCGCCACGACCCATTTCAAGAAACACCCCAGAGTTATCCTTCTAGAACATCACTGACAATTCCAAACCTATGACAAGTTATACACCATTGGCGATCTGAGACTTTATGTCCCTACCATGCAATTAACCCCCAATGATTCTCTGTTCTAAGCTGTACATACTCATACAGGCCTACACGGCTCTAGGAGACTTGTGGTTGAATATAGCATAGCTCCCAATCAAGGGTAACATGGCATAGCCAAACCAACGGTCTTACCACCGTCGGAGCGTTTATGCCATCTAGGCACCAAACGGGGCACTACACGTACATCAGTGTATATGACTTGTGAGCAGAGATCCCATCTGGACTTGCATAAAAGTGCAGTGAGAAGGGTCCACTCAACCTTCCTCTTTCGTGTTCCCTGTAGGGACACAATGAAATCACAAGACAGCACCGCGCAAATAGGAAAGATCTCTTCCGGTGCTAAAGAAATTTAATGAGCTTAGGAGACCTTAAATACTGAGAAATATATAATCGTAGAAGGCGAAAATGGGGAAATTAGGTCAGGCACAAACGAGTGCATATCCATCTATCTATACATATGCATGGATGTAGATGGCATATCAAAAACAATTTCTCATATTGGGGGGGGGGCTCAGTATGTGTAAATCTGTCAGAATTTCGAGATAGAAATTTTCACAATACCTTATCATTTTAAGTGCTAAAAACACTTAAAATATGCGCTAAAAAGCGGGAAAATATGCACCAAAATAAAACAATATGCACTTAAGAAACAGGTCACTTTATTCAGACTCACTTATTTACATGTATCATTCACTGCAGAAAGTAGCATCACAATAGGCAACTAGAAGTCTTTCAGTGTTTTCTGGAGACAAACTGCGTCTATTGTCTGTCAAAATGAGTTTATAGGCTGAGAATGATCTTTCTACATCAACTGACGTGATTGGACAGTATTTATACACTGACCCCGAAGGTTTGGAACACTTTTGCTTCACGGACACATGCATACTTATCTTCAAGTTTTGTAACCACTTCTTTTACTTGATTGAAATTCTCCTGATAAAATGAAACTGCGGATATCCATGTCCTCCACCTAGTTAGTACAGGTTCAGGTGGCACAGGAACCTGAGGTAAGCAATCTTTGTAGAACTGGACACGAGCTGGTGCTTTCAGAAACAGTTTCTTCCCACTTTCAATTAAATCGTTAACAGCTTGAAACTGTGCGCATATTTTTTTCTGCAATACGGTGTAATCCGTGTGCTAAACAGGTTACGTGTATAAGATTTGGATAAAATACTTGTAAGGCCTTTGCTGCTTTCATCATATAGGAAGCTCCATCTGTGAGTAACACAAGCACCTTACAACAATTATTCTAAATTTGAGATGGCCATAGTAGTCACAGAGAATCATTTACAAATCTTGCTACTGTGCTATGGTTGGTTTTCTCTAGTACTTTGCAAGCAAGAAGATGAGGGTTGCCAGGTTTATCTGGATGTAGCTTACCAACTACAAAATTTGCTAT